CCACCAAATTGTACATTCTAAATGGGTAAATTGTATGGCATGTAAATTATATCCTAATAAAGCTGTCTCTATATATAATAAACAGTCAGTATTATTAGCATTATTTCCCAGCTTCTGGTGAGTACAAAAAGAGGTTAATGAAGGCTTGAAACAGATCAGCAAAACTTGTCAAAGAAACTAAAATTCATCAGAGTATTGTGAAGCCTTACCAACTCAGTGACTCCTGAAGATACGGAGGAAAATGTTCTGTCCCATGAAAGCAGCTTCCAAAACTTTCTACCAAGTCCCAGTGCTGAACACACACACACACACACACACACACACACACACACACACACACACTGCCCTGCCTCTGTACTTTATATACAAACGGGATAAAGAGATCACTCAATATTTCTACTCATTAAACACTTCTGTCAGAAGTCTGAGTTCATGAAAAGCATATTTACCTATTCAGATAGTCTCATTTTGTTAAATTTGAAAATCAAAAAAAGCATGTACACTTGTGTTATCAGTCTTGAAAAACTGAGGATTTTTTTTTAATCACAAGAAATATTTGAGACATTCAACACAGATGTTGCAATGACAGCCTATAATAAAATGGGTTTACCTTGAGAGATGGAATAATGAGATGCAGAGATAAGAATGAAGCTGGAATAGAAGGTGGAGGGAATGAGATGCTTAGACCCAGTAACACTGGAGCCTTAAGCAGAGCCCCACCAACCTATAGCTGAAATCAGTATTAAGGTTTTATGTGTAAAATGTAAATTTAGGGTCTTGAAATTTTGTGTAATCTGGAATATGAATATGTTACCACTGTTTCTCAAGATTTATCAGGAATTGGCATTCCATCCAATAATGCAAATTCTGAGTATCTGAGTGATCCCTGTGAAAGGGAGAGTATCTCTAAATAAATTGAAGTGGGCCCAAGACAGAAGAGCTGTGAAAGCTACAGTTCTATTTCATTCATAGGGCTCTTGCCCCACAGTTTTTGAGATTGCCCACAGTGGCATATTCTTTTGAGTATCTTCAGCGATGGTTAAGCCTTTATTCTTAAAGGGGATATAAGTTGTATAGGGGACGAAGAGAAGGCAGTAGAGAACAAATGTTAAAACATGGGTTCTCTCTGAATAATGGTAAGCATCACTGGAATAAAATAAATACTTCAGTCTGTGGATAGCCTGTATCACTTCATATTAGGTTTTGCTGGTGAAAACCAGTCACATAGCCCCACCTGTGTAGGGACTAGCAGTGTACCAAAGAGAGCACACATACAAAGAAAGCTTGAGGCAAGGAGTAGAGGACCCACTCCTCTCCTAAGAACCAGCCTTTCCCAGTTCTATCAGCAGGCAGAGAAGCAGAGAGAAGGCAACACTGTTAAGCTTCCAAAGCTAACTTGTTTACAATGGGAGCTGAGTGAGAAAAACAAACAGGTCTGCAGTGTCCCTAGATCTTAGACGTGCACGCTTGGATTTATGTATGTATTCAAACATCCCATCTTCCTGCCGTCTTTGTTCCTTCTCGAGTCTACCCAGTGTCTCCATTAGCGGTCCTAGCCCACACACCAGACAGCCCTATAGTCCTGCCTTGATGATTTCCCTAATTTGAACTCTTTTTCTTCCAGGTGTGTGCAATTTATATTACACAAAGATCTAGCCGGTTACTTTTCATTATATCTCATGATCTCAGCTGATGTTACCTGACCTTGTAATTTTTTTCCTATTCATGCAGTTTTGGTTCTGTTTTTAGTGCAAACCGGTTATTACTTTTATACTTCATAGTTGGTTTTACCTTTTAACAACTTACTCTCCAGTATTTTATGTGTAAAATATCTCCAGATGCATACAAGATTGGTAACAGAAGTGGCCTTTGGGAACTGGAATTAGGCAGCTATGGAACCATATGGGAAGGAGATTTTTGAACTTCTTAAAATGCTGATTCATGTGAATGTTTACCTAATTAAAAAAAAACACTTGAAAAAAATAAATAAAAAGGATTAGGATGAGCAAGGAGATTCTGTTGGCGGGGAGAAGAGTGGGAAAAGGTAGCTGAGGAAGAGAAAGGGAAGAGCAGAGCCAGCTGCTACAGGGAGTAGAACTTCAGGGAGAGAGATGCTTAAAGAACATTTTTAGGGGTGCCTGGGTGGCTTAGTTGGCTAAGCGTCCAGCTTCAGCTCAGGTCATGATCTCATAGTTCATGGGTTCGAGCCCCTTGTCAGGCTCTGCGCTGACGGCTCAGAGCCTGGAACCTCCATCGGATTCTGTGTCTCCCTTCCTCTTTGCCCCTCCCCTGCTCATGCTCTGTCTCTCAAAAATAAACATTGAAAAAAATTTTTTAGAAACATCTGCAGAATGATGTGGAATGTAACCACCTTGCTCCAACTTCCACAGAGAAAAATTGAGTAATACAAAACTAAAAAAACAAACATCTTTATGATTTGGACTCTGCCTATGTCATTTGACCTTTGATGCTAAACTCACATTTTACCTTTTGCTTCATCCACATTGAGTTATTTGTAGTTACTCAAATACACTCTCTCACTTCCCTGTAATTGCACTTACCTCTTTCTCCTTGCTAATTCCTCCTCCTCCTCACCCCTCAAGATTCACCTTCAATGGAAAGCTTTAGAATGGAATATGCCTTTGCTCTCCTTTGGCACCCCATCCATACCTCGACCACAGTGATTTTCCCAGCACCAAACCTGTGTTTATCTTACTCCCTCATCAGATTCTGTATCTCCAGTGCCCTGTACACAGTACATTCTCAATAAAAGCTTGTTTCGGCTTAGGTCATGATCTTGATTTCGGCTTAGGTCATGATCTCATGGTTCCTGAGCTCAAGCCCTGCGTTGGACTCTGCGCAGACAGTGCAGATCCTGCTTGGGATTTTCTCTCTCCCCCTCCCCAACTCATGTGCATGCACTTTCTGTCTCAAAGTAAACATTAAAAAAAGAAAAAAAAAATGTTGAAATGAAAGTTAAACAGTTGCCTCAAAGGTTACTCTGAGTATTAAGTACAGCATTTGAAAAACCACAACAGTATATAATCTATAGTGTATTGTAAATAATATACAAGATAACAAATATAAAGTGAATGGTACATAGTCAAATTTAATAAATGCTGCAAAAAACAAACAAACAAACAAAAAAAAACAAACAAAAAACAAGACAAAGATGAAGGAACTAATTTACCCAGCGGGTATGTTATTTATGAATCTAGTTGTTAAAACACATGACACAGTTTAAAAGAACTTTCAGGCTGACTAATAAATGAAATATTTAAAGTAGATTGTTTATGGAAAATTTGAAAGGCAGGGACTAATACTGTTGCTTTTGTGTCCATTAAAGGAGTCTGTATAGCACACAGTAGCTGTCTGTTGAATGAAATGCTTTGAGGCATTTCTTTTTATTTATTTGAGACAAAGAGAGAGAGCACGTGCATACAAGTGGGGAAGATGGGCAGAGAGAGAGAGAGAGAGAGAGAGAGAGAGACGGTGAGAGAATCTCAGGGAGGCTCCACACCCAGCGCAGGGCTCAATCCCATAACCCTGAGATCATGACCTGAGCGGAAATCAAGAGTCTAATGTTCAAACAACTGAGCCCACTCAGGTGCCCCCGCTAAGGCATTTCTTCAAAGAATGTTAAGTCCTTGAATAATGGAAGAGATATCCTCTCCCTCAAAAAATCAGAATCAAAGAATGTCAGAAGTGGAAAGGGTGCTTAGAGATCATCTAGTTTAGGGATCAACAAACTATATAGCCTGTTTCTGTACAGCCTTTCAGCTAATATATATATATATATATATATATATTTTACATTTTTAAAGGGTTTGTAAACAGGAATATGTGACAGTATGCAGTCCTCAAAGCCTAAAGTATTTACCATCTGGCCCCTTACAGAAAAAGTTTGACCCTTGACCTAGACCAGTGTTCTCATTTTGCCACAAAAAACTTAACTTGTTCAGGATTCGGTAAATTAGGAAACAAGACCTGTAATCCAAAACAGATTTTTCAACTTTTTGCACGAACGAGGGTCAAAGAATTTTAAAGTATATGTAAAAAAGATAGATATATAAAGTAAGTAGCAATTTAATTTATTCCAAAAAGGATCCATTTTGTTATTTTAGACGTGAATTGTGACAAACGGACCCCTAGTAGAAGCATGGGCTTGGAGAGAAACATAAAATCCACCTAGTCTCAAAGTACTGGCTTTGTTGACTCTGAGAGAGTTACTAACCCTTTCTGAGCCTCTGTTTTAACTATGAAATGGGGTAACAGCACGTTTACCACAGGTTTAAAAAGAGTGTATCACAAAACTAGCGTTCAATAAACTGACGTTTTCCTTCCCTTCCTACCCAGGGTCATACTGGCCACGCATTCAAACAATAAACTGGATTGGATGGCGTAGGCATCCATTATCAACTCATTATCCCGAGGTGGAATGTTACCCACTTAGGAGTCCAGGAATCCAAGCAAATAAAGGAGATGAAAGCCAAGTACACAGACTCAGCTGGAGAAAGGAAACCGGAACAGGGTAAAAGGGAGGACCGAGAGGCAAAGGACATGAGGCTGAGACAGCGCGGCAAAGGGGAGGGTACCAGGAGACAGACTCCAAACCCGGAAAGGGAAATCCAGCATTTTACGTTTGGGGTAAAGTGGGGTAAACGAGATTTGTGTTGCCGAATTTCTAGCCTGGGAGATGAATATACATGCGATAGCTAGACAGGATGCCTTGTGAAAGGGCAGAGAACGTACACCGTTACTCACCTGCTGCCTAAGTCCACGGCCACGGCTCGGAACCCCGCGCCACCCCACAGTGCTCGCACTTGCAACTGGGTGAGCGCCCGGTCCCGCCCAGGCAGGCGGAGGGTACCATCGCCGAGCGGCCGAAGCTTCAGGCACGAGCAGCAACGCCTGCAAGCCGCCATGATACCCGGCACGCGATCACCCCGGGCTGCACCCTGATTGGCTCACTCTGCAGACGGTGGGGCGGAGCCTTATGCAGTTTTGTTTCCGTAGTGCCTGGGGGCGGGGAACGCGGGGTTGCGGATTACTTGGCCGCTTCCTACGAAGACTAGAGAGGGTCAAACATAACTGAACGCAGTTGTGACAACCTGTTTTTCCTATTGAGGTATCTACCAGTGAAAGACAATTGGAAACGTAATGCCGTGTGTGTGTGTGTGTGTGTGTGTGTGTGTGTGTGTGTGTGTGTGTCTGCGTGTGTGTGTGTCTGTGTGTGTGTGTGTGTCTGTGTGTGTGTGTGTCTGTGTGTGTGTGTGTCTGTGCGCGCTCGGGCGCTCTCGTAGTTTTAAAAAGTTCTAGAATAATGTATATGTTTAATAAGTAAAGTATAGTAATAAGAGAAGCCACCAGACAACTCATTATTATTTGGCTTCTGTGAACTGGCAATTACAGAATTTGTGTTGTGGTCCATGGAAAGAGATCTCGCCGCTTCTCTGCCCTGGTTTTTACTTTATAAATTTCACGCAAATATTACTGCAAAGGTTTATGTTAATTTATTTCTAGTAAGTTAATTTCACTTCTTATTGACCTGTATCATTTTAGATATCTTTAACATCATTTGTGATTCATCTTCATTTCCATTGTTAATATTTAGCAATTCATTTCTCTGCCCCTTTTGATCAAATGTTAATCTTTTTTAAACCAACTTTTATTAAATGCGAAATGCCAGCCAGTATTTAAAGGAAATGTTTCGGAAAATGAAGAAAAAGAATTTTTGGAATTCGAATTTGGTAAATTTTTAGGGAGTAGATAAATCTCTCCCACTCCTCTTAATCTTGTCTGTTAGAAAATTTTCATAATAGTTCCTTGAATGAACCAGTGATTTTTTTTATTATTATTATGAGGGTCATATTTCTCTTTTAAGGTCATAACTTTCTTCCTCCAAAGAAATCCAAACAAAAAAAATCCAACACACAGTGGAACATGGTTTTAAGAACTAAAAATGTTGAACTTCAAACAAATGATTTAGTGGCAAAGCAGCTCCCTGACACCTTAGTTTCCAGGAGCTGTTATCACTGATTTTGGAAGGGATTACTACTAACACTGCTTAGGGGTATTTAGTGTTAAATAAGTTTTTTGCCTCTTGCTCTACATATGACTTTACTTTGTGTTGCCACAATGTTTTCAAGACCAATCTATTGAAACCTGTCCTAATGACAGACAAATCTGTCATAATCTACTTGCCACAATACAACATGACTTTGGATTTATAAAATAAGAATACCAAATCACCTTTTGGTAAAGCACTTAAGTACTATAAAATCTTTCATTTAGGTGGTGTTGCCTACTAATTTAGAGCATAAACTTGAAGTTAGTCTTGAGTGGTCCCAATCTAAGCTCTGCCATTTACTAGTTGTCTGACTCTACCTTTCTAAGCCTCAGATTCCTCATTTATAGAAATGGTTACTAATATGTATCTTCTGGGGTTTTTGTAAAGGTTAAATGTGATAGAGAATGTAAAATGTTAATCACAGTACCTGGCACATTGTCAGCACTCAGTAAATGGCAGATTCAGCTTTGATCCATCCTTTTCTTAATTTTCCCTCTAGTTTCCTCTGAAATACTGAACAACCCTCTTTCCTGTAGAGCCCCATGGATCTATTAAACTTTCATCCATCTGGAAATACTGGAAAGCAATATTCACACATTAAGTCCACCTGTTTCTTCACACCCACCCAAAATAACTGATATGGTAGTAATTGGATCATAAATTTAAAGGTAAATGTGGGTATCGAAATTTGTTATAAAGTAGTCATAAAGATGACCCAGACTATGTTTATATTGAGTGTGGTGTCTCTCTTGATCAGATGAAGGCCCCCAAATGTGGGGTGACGACTGGGTGAAAAGTTTCACCCAAGGCAGAACAAAGGAGATAGTTTACTGAATATACTACAAGGGAGCAGTGGGCAAGACGGCAGAGGAGAGGCTGTCTGCAATGAGGCAGTGGGGGCTGTATTTAAAGGGAGAAAGTGAGGAGGTATGGCAACGTTGGGAATTTTTTCTATTTTGGTAACTGCTGTCCACTGGTTAGTTAGGGTCTGTGGGTATTTTGAGGTGAGTCGCCTGATGGTCCTGTCTGTATTCAGCCAGAGTGTCGCTGTGGGCCCTTTCTACATTCTATTGCTCAAGCCTGTTTGCCTAACAGTGGCCACTACATTATGTATCTTAAGATTAACACAGAAACAGGGTGCCTGGATGGCTCAGTCGGTTAAGCGTTCGACTTCTGCTCAGGCCATGATCTCGTGGTCTGTGGGTTTGAGCCCTGTGTCAGGCTCTGTGCTGACAGCTCAGAGCCTGGAGCCTGCTTTGAATTCGGTGTCTCCCTCTTGCTCTCTGCTCCTCCCCCACTCATTCTCTGTCTCTCTCTTGCTCTCTCAAAACAATAAACGTTAAAAAAAAAGATTAACACAAAAGCAAAAATATAAAAAGTTTAAATTGTTGTGGTTGTGAGATAGGGAACCTGAAGAATTCCTTAAAAATGTGGCTTTTGCTCCTTTTCCTGCTCCTGTTCATGCTACGACCTGCACCACCACTTTACACGTGCCTCAGAATGTAGTGTGTGTCACCCTTGTAAGGGACAAGGAGTTAAGGATTTCTTTAGAATATCGAACATCTATGGAAGGACCAGATGAGAATGATGGGACAAAGCTATCATATGCATATTCCAGACAACCAGGAGCTAGGCTTCTCATGCCAAGACCTGCTGGCTCCAAGGAATGACACCTGGGCCCTGTCTTTATTCTAACCAGTCCCTGGATGCCTGAGAGGACAGGTATACCAGGCCACAATCCTCAGTAAAAAAACCCCAGACCTCAAACAAAGACAAGACTCATACTCCTTTCCTTTCTGAGTCTCCCAGACACTCCATCTGTATCTGCTCTCTCTATATCTTCAATTAACTTTGCTCTCACTTCCTGCTGGCTCATGTTTGATTTCCAGCCTATGTGAAGCCAAGGACCATTTTGGTTGGTCCTGGGGGACCCCCTCTGGGTCCCTGGACCCAGCCTGCCAGCATCATTTGTATTTAAAGAAGCTATGATTCACTGAGGTTCAATCTGAGATGTCACATTCTGGAAATATAGTTCTGCCAAGTATAGTTCAACAGCCAAAATACAATTTAAGAGGAAGTTCTTTACCTATAACTCTTGAAGGACATTAAAGATGATCTAATTTAAATCTACCAGCAATATTTTTCAGATCTCCTTTTCTCTTTTTTTCAAACTCCAATGAATGTGCATCCAAATAGTTAATACCACTGCCTGCTCTAAGTGGCAATTTCATGTAAGTAAAACATCATTGCATTAAATTACTGTTAATTAAAATTTAATTTGATTTGTAGTTTGGCTTATGAAGTATATACAATTGTTTCAGTTTGATGACTGTATAAGAGGTACCAGACTAAGGAGTTTGTGTCTTCTTATGTATTTGTACAAAAAGTATCAGTGGACACCAAGTCCACTGATACTTTTTGCTCTTAAAGAAGTGTAGGCTGCTCAACTTTAAGAAGACTGCTCTATGTCACTGCCAGAGGGAGTTTTCTAAATCACAGCCTAATTGTATCTCCATTCTGATTAATTTTCTTTAATCACTTCCTAATCTTTAATCTACAGGATAAAAATCTAAACTGCTTAGTGTTGACTACAAACTTTGCCTTTTAGACTCATCAGTTTTGACTTTCTACCTATTTTCTTCTCATTTTATAATCCAAGGAAACAACTACTTGTTCCCCTCCTAACATACAACCCTCTCTTCTGCCTCTGTGTCTTTGCGTGTATGAGTCTCTGTCCTTGGTACATTTTCTCTCCTGTCAGTCTGGCACACTCAATCTTCAGGTCTTAATACGGGAGGTCTTCAATATTAGCCTCTCTGACTTCCGCATACTGACTTGTGGGTACAATCTATGTCTGCCCTTCCACTTTATTAATTAATATGTGTAGTCATTATTTCATCCATAGAAATGAATGCGGGAGTAGGTATTGCATAGTGGTTAAAAGTGCTGGCCTTGGCATCAGATTCTCTAGGTTCGAATTTCACCTGTTACCTCCTAACCATGTGACTCTTGTTAAGTTGCTTACCCTTTCTATGCCTCAGTTTCCTCACTTGTGAAGTAAAAATATCTACCTCTTAGGGTTGTTAGGCAGATTTAAGTGCAATCTTATTTTTATGCAACTTAGCATAGTCTTTGGCATACCTACTTTATGCCAGGCAGTATGCTAGGCTCAGGGCATACAGGCGTGTAAGACAATCACAGGGCATAATAATTCCTGCATTATTAGCTTGAAGTTTAGTATGAGAGACTGACAAAAACACAACCAAACAAATAAAAAGAAAAAAGTAGAGGGTGATGGTAAGAAGAAAATAAACTAGGTGAGAAGATAGGGAACAATGAGATGGAAGAACTTACTTCAAATAAGGTGGCCAGGAAAAGCCATTCTGCAGAGACATTAAAGCCACCCTGAAGGATGAAAAGGAGACAAGTTCTGAAACATGGGGCCAGGTTGGAGCAGTGACTGGGAAGAGGGATGGTTGCCCCTGAGTCTGCAGAGAGTTTGGCTTTTATGAGGACTTGGAAAAGCCAGTGTGGCTAGAGAGTAGTAAGTAGGGGTGGCAAAGATGAGGTATGGGAGGACTACACTGTAAAGTTTAAACAGAGAAGTGTCATGACCCAGTCTACATTTTAAGATGGTCCCTCTGACTGCTGAGTCTAGAATTGGTTGGAGGAAGATAAGAAATAGGTGTAGAAATCAGAAGTAATATGGTGACAAGGGTGACAAAGAGAAAGGATGGGCAGATCTGGAATATATTTTAGCTTGTTGATGAATTGGATACTGGCAGGGGTGAATTAAGATAATTAACAGGATCAGATGAGTCAGAATGCAGTGTAGGAGACACCCAGAAGTAGCTGTCAAGGCAGTTGGATCTGAGTGTAGAACTCAAGGAAAGGAATGGTAATTTGGTGCCTGGGTGGCTCAGTCCATTAAGTGTCTGACTTCAGCTCATGTCATGGTCTCACAGTTCGTGGGGTTCGAGCCCCGCCTCAGGCTCTGTGCTGACAGCTCAGAGCCTGGAGCCTGCTTTGGATTCTGTCTCCCTCTTTCTCTCTGCTCCTCCCCCACTCATGCTCTCTCTCTCTCAAAAATAAGGCAACATTAAAAAAAATTCAAAAAAAGTAATCAGCATACCAGTGATATCACAAGCCATAGAAATGCATAATATCACTTAGAAAGATGGTAGAGAGAAGAAGGAAGGTTCAGGTTTGCACCCTGAGGAGGCAGAGGCTGCCAAGGTTATGGAGGTGGATCCCGTGGTGATGCAGTAGTCAAGCTAGGATGATTATGCTGGGTATTTTTCATTTGCACCCACTCCATCCATACCCTTGGCTCTTCTCTGTGCCCCCATAGGTCTGATGTATGGACAGCAGCATGCCAACTCCCTGGCTCTTTTTTGGTTTGGTCAGCCAATGAGAGACACCAGCAGCCGATGAAAGGGTAGGATGAGGGAGAACCTAAAAGTATAGAACATAATTACTTATGATGTGGCATTGACTGCAGCTGCCTGCTACCTGCTTGCTGGGCTCTAGCTATCACTCCAATTGCTGTTTCTTCTCCTTGCCACTTTAAGTCTTCACAGTTTCCCACCATTGGTCATCACTCAGTGCCTTCAGCATTCCTCATCATTAGTTCCACAATCTGCCTTCCCCACCAGAAATAGTCTCTTCATTAAGTTCTCTTTAGAACTCATCTGAGTGTGCCCTCTGTTCCCTGTTTCCCTTTGCACTGCTTCTCTGGGAGCACGCCCTGGCCTCTCTCCCGGCAGTAGACCACCATTACTTGTTAGGAGTAGCTTGTTACCCTGGAGGTGGGAGGTGAGGGGTGTGCAGTGCTATCTGCTGTTCTGACTAACCCTCGGTCTTAGGAAGGTAATGTGTCCATGGATTCTCAGTGCTCATGCCCCTCTCCCAGCTGTAATTCTTGGCCCAGCATGTATTCTACCCTTTTCCCTGGGGTAAAGCGTTATGTTCTATTCCTTCTTCTACCTGGGTTTTCACAGTGCCTTAAGATTAACAGTATTTGTCACATTCCCACAGAGCATAGAGCTTTGATTCCTATGGAGAGATAGGGGAGGAGAATCCAGTAGGGCTTTTGCTTTCCCCACAGCACTCCTGGGTGCCTTCCCCAGACCTGCACCTTTGTCAGGAGCTTTGCTTTTACCCCAGTCTTTTTTGTGAGTGCTCCGTGAAGTCCAAGAAGAGACTGTGAGAGGTTGTGAATTCCTGCAGTCTCCATGGGTTCTATATACTCTCATTCGTCCACACTGAGCCATTAGCGATTGGTTAAAAAATCTAGTTGGATTCTTTTTACCCATGTCTGTTGCTGACTATGTTGGGTGAGCAAGAGCTAATGTCCTCTTTGTCTTTGGAGACTCTTATCTTTAGATTTCGGATTCACTGGTTTTTCTGTCACTTTTAGCTCTCTGATGGGTTTCAGAAGAGTTGTGAGTTTTCAGACTCTCTGGCTTTGTTGTAACTGTTGTTACTATTACTCTTGTTATAAGGATGGGATGCTCTTTCCAGATTTCTGAATCCTAAGCAGAAGTGGGTCTCACATGCATTTGAAGACCTCTTTTCTCCATTAGTCTGGAGAAATGAAAAAAGGGCATAATTTGTTCTTTCACTATTTTTTGTAGCTTGCTTCTGCCTCCATAATTTTTCTGGTTCTTAAGAATTGGGACACAGGAACAGGGAATAGAAGAGGGATGAAAGAATTCAAATTCTGGAGCCAGTGGAATTTTTATTTGACTGGTGCTTGTTGGTTTTCATGTCCACTATTACTGCACACATACAAAAGCTGGCTATGATATGGGGTGGATGTGAGAATTGCCTGGTGACCTCTGCTGGGACCTCCAAAATGGCATAGTTTCCTAATGTGGGTACTCTTGGGGTGACCTTTTGTGACCTTCCCAGCTTCCACTCCTGGTGGTCTGTTGCACAGCTTCTTAGTGCTGAGATCCTCTTGTCTTGGCTCTTATCCTTCTTGGGTGAAATACCATCAAAACAGCTTCCCTGGGTTCTTTTGGCCCACATATTCACACATCTTTGCCCCCAAAACAAGTGGAATTGAAACTTCTCTCAAACACTGATTTCTTGCCTTTTCATTGCAGGTGAATTCAGTAAGCCTCTACCTTCCAAATTCTCTTAAATGGGAAGCAGGCGCTGGTGTCTATATTCTTAAATGCCCATGTATGGCCATTTTGTAGTAGCAAAGTGGACCCTCATCCAAAATTTGGCTTGAATGTCAAGACTGATGTTCTCTGCCCTCCTTTTATCTGCCTTAAAGCTGAACACAAATTTCCCTTTGTGAAGGTGGCGTAAATATACCCCATCTCCTGTACCAGGACGAGGAAAGTGACCATTGTCTAGAAATGGAAGGCTGGCATTAAGGTGAGTCTGCATCAACATACTTTACTAAAATAACTCTTCCATTAGTTTCCCTCATTTATTTCCTACTCACTTTCCCACAATTTATCACCAAACCTCCCTTTACTTTGTCTAGTTTTTTTCTACAATTTATTGCCCTTTGTTAAAATGTACAACCTCTGAATCTAACTACATCCTTAGGTTTTCCCTTTTTTCTGTGAAGCCCCTATACATGTAAAAATATTAACATCAACAATATTTGCATGCCTTTTCTCCTGTTGATCTGTCTTTTGTCAGTTTAATTCACAGGCCTCAGTACTGAAATAAGTGGATAGAGCAAGAGCTTAAGAAAACACCTTTTCATCATTGTCATGGATTCATTAAGAAAGCCATGACTAGATTCAACCACTGGCTCACATTTTCTGCTATGAGGAAAGCAATAAAGGTTTACTCCTTTGGAATGGGCACCTAGCCTTGCTAGTATAGATAGTAGACATCTCTTATGTATCTTCACTGGGAACCAAGTGACCTGAGCAGTTTTGAGGTTCTGGGTCATTTGGATAACTGAAAACTCCCACCTTCAGAGAGAGGGTAGGAGCAGATTCGGTAACCCATGGTAATACTTGCTACTACATATTTGGACAAGAATTCGGGATAGTGAAAACCCCATCATCTTGTTTCTTGGTGTACTGAAAATTTCCTCCATCCCAATAAAAGAGAATCAGAAAGACATCTGCCCCAGTAAGGGGATCATCCCTAATTTTTTGATACCTTAAAATAGCTAGGGTTCAGTATTCAGACCCTCAGTCTATAGCTGTCTCCTTCTGTGTCAAGATACCTCCAATCACCATTATGGTTATTTATTTTCTTCTGCCACCACTAGTCATTGTAATTTTTCCTAATACATTGTAATTTTTCCTGTACTGACCACACTCCTGATGCCTTCAATTCATTGTCACAAATTACCTCAGACAGAGTGTTACCGAATTGTGATGAACAGAATCAATTTACAAATAGACTTTTGCCTGAGTTGTGTGTCTTTAGAATTCTAACTAACTGCAACCTGCATTAGATTATTTAAATTTTCATGTTGGTTAGTTGTTTGTAGGATATTGGGATCATTGTTCCTTCCCACAAAAGTTTCTTTAAAGTCAGCTTGAATGAACAGTAATTGAGCACAAAAGCCTGACCTTGCCAACACTGCATTACATGCTCAGTCAAATTAGTTCAGACCATTATGGTTTATATTAACTATATTTGTCATTTGTAATTAACATGGATTAAGATTTGGAGGAGAGTTCTGGTACTTGTTTTTGGTTGATTATGCTAGTGGGAATTTCAGACCATATTAACATTTTCTCTTGCTTCTTAAGTTTGTTTTGTGTTTTCTTAACAGAATAATTATATCTTTGATCTGATTTTGGAATAGTCTGGCTAATGTTTGCTCAGGAAGAAAATAAAACCATCCCTTACCCAATTTTCTCCTTCTCCCTTCGACAAGTATATAAAAGGTTGATCGGGAGAGAAGCAAACCATACATTTGAGTTTTGGCTCATTGTATAAGATGATGATAATGATCCAAATTTAGAATGTCATGAAATCTCTTAAGGTTTTGTTTTAAAATGCACTTACCATGTCTTGGATATGAAACAGGTGGTTCTGCAGACAGGCCTGAGTTATCGCCAATGAATAGACTATTGTGTGCAAAGTAGCTTTTCATTATCATTGTTAACCCTCATTAAAATCACAAACCTTTAGCTTTTCACAGCTTTGTTTTCTTTTAAAGAGATGATGTTCAAGGTTTTTGAAATGTCTACATTTTCTTGAAATGTTTTCATTTAAAATAAAACTTCTTTTGTGGTTATACACATGCATCAGTATTATGAGAGAGGAGGGTTTGAAGCTGAGCAGTAATATTAGTTTTAATATTTTGTTGTCTTTTTCAGTCTTTCATAAAACTTTCAAAAATTAATAAATTCATAAAAATTTCATTTGGGCATCTGTATTTGCATTTTCTCTTCCTTTAAACAATCCCTGTGTCTTTTTCCTGCTGATAATATGCATCATCCTCATTACCACTAAACATTTAGGGAACAATATACCATTAGGTAAGAAAACAGCAATTTCTGTAGCAAATGCCTGCACATTTTTGCTCTTTAAACACAAACTCCCATGGACTCATTGCAAGGTAATATCAGGGTGAGGAGGGCATTTGAGATTTCTTTTAGGCCTCAACCTACTTCTCATTAGGCCTCCTTTAATTTGGTTTTGGCCTTAGACATAGCTTAGTTTAATTGTTCATAGCTGGTTGGCTTCACTTTCCCCCTCAAAGTTTAACTCTTCTAGTCCTCCCAGTATTTTCTTATGGAAAATTTTAGATTGAGTTTTTATCTCTTGTAAAGTTTGGTTGCTTTGATGGTTAAGAAGGTACACTTCAGTCAAACCTTGAATTCTATGCACATTCAAATTGTTGCTCTTTTTGATGAAGATGTAAATTTTGAAATGGTACTTAGAGTATTAGGGATCAGTTTCAACAATAATTTATTGAGTGTTGGGTATAGGCACTATGCTATTTTCACATTTGCTGTTTTACTTAATTATAAAGAATAAGGGATCATGGCTGTAAAGACTTGACCTAATATAAATTCATGAGCAATGTGTTATGGGGGAATTCAGACCATAGGGAAGACTATCTTCTCTTAAGAAATTTGAAAGGAGGTATACAAATATAGTGAGATTACATTTTGAGATACTTATTCTTCCTTTCCAATATTTTCTGCTATCCTACCACTCTCCCACACTCAGGAGGTGACCTGAGTGTAGTATTCTCACTGCCCCTAAGCAAGGTTGTTACAAGAAAGAAAATAATAAATACTTGGCTTATGACTTTAAAAATAGATGCAGACAATACTTTGAAAGAAATTATTTGTGAGATACAGGGCAGAAAGTTCTGCACATCATACAAAACAGATTAGGAAGAATACAGGATGATGTAAATTCATTTTTCCAGTTTTTAAAAAGATGTCCGAGAGAGAGAGGCTAAACACAGGTGTGAGAGGGGCAGCAATAGGAACTTCATGGAAGCTTGAGTATCTGTGAGAAGAGAGGACTGCAGCCATATGAGCTATTTTCAGTCCCCTAAAGAGCCATGCTGGCATATGCCTTGATGATCTTGTTCATCATCATTTTTTGCCTATATTTCTTCTGACTGATGTGTGTCTTTTGCTATACAACTCCAGTGTCATTTCTGTTGGGAGGTCTTCCTAAGCGCCCCCACTCTACTAAATTTCTATAAGTGGTAAAGGATTAACTCACTAGTAAAGGATTAATTGGTTGGATTAATTTATCCAAACCCTGCACATTCTGAGGATCTTCAGGACTGGTCTTGACCACCTCCTGGGAGATAACCTCTGATCCCTTGAATATTCTTCCTGATGACTGTGTCTTTGTATACCTGAGACTTTGTATCACACTAGATAGCTTATGTATGCTAACCCTGTTGGTGGCAAACGCTTGTTTTTTTATGCCTTGGGCTTTGGGTCATCCTGCATCAGTTTGACCTTTGGGTGGGGAGCTGGCGACTGTCATATAAGACTTCATTGCTTCATGCCTATGTGATTAGCCCAAATAAAAACCCTGTAACAAAGATCTCAGGTGGGTTTCCTTAGTTGGCAACACTTTGCATGTGTTGTTATGCATCATTGCTGGGAGAACTAAGCACTGTCCATGAGACTCCTCAGGGACAGAACAATTGGAGGATTGAATATGGTTTCTCTTGGACTCTGCCCTATGCCCTTTTCCCTTGCTTATTTTAATCTGTATCATTTTGCTGTAATAAACCATAACTGTGAATATAATAGCTTCTCTGTATCCTGTGAATCTTTCTAGTGAATCCTAGAACCTGAGGGTGGTCTTCATACTCCACAATAATTTTTGGTTATAACACTTATTATACTTCTATTCATTCATTAGTTTATTTATCCATCCATGCATTTGACTAATTAACTACTGAATGCCCACTATGTACCAGATATTGTTAAGCCCTGAAGTATGAGAATGAGCATGATAGGCAAAATTCCTACCTTTGTGAATTTATAGTCTGGTGGGACAAAGGGAGAAGGAAACAGATAAAACAATTTGGTATGGTAGCAGCTATTATGGACATAGTACAAGATGACATGAAGAACAGAGACCTCAGACTCCAACACAATCTGGTGGGGAGGGGTGTCAGGTAAGCTGCTTGATAAGTAGGGAAGTGGCAAAGGGATAGAAAAACAGTGGTTATGCAGATTCAACACATATACAAAAGCCAGAAAGTAAGAGACAAGTGAAATGAATTCATTGTGTCTGGATAAACCTGTCTGAGGGAGAAAGTGACAAGAGATGAGGCTAGAGAAGGGGCCAGATGATGCAGGGTTCTGTTAGCTGCATTACAGAGTATGGTTTTTATCCTACAATGAGTGAGAAGTCATTGAAGGATTACAAGCAGGTGAGTGACTTGATTGGATTTGCTTTTAGAAAGAACACTCTGGCTGTGGTTTGTAAGAATGCATTGGTAAAACACAAGCATAGAGGGGGCAGACTCATTAGGAGACTAGTGCAGAAATCCAGATATGAGACGATGGAGGTCTAAACTGGGGTGTTGGGAGTTCATTGGAAAAGAGTGGGTAGATTCACAAGATGGTTAGGAGGTAGAATTGATAAGACTAGCTGATACGTTGGGTACTGGGGAGAGGGCATGAAAAGAGTTAAATATGACATAGTATGCCCATCTTAAAGAGGTGTGAGCAGCTGTGCCTCTGTTAGAGAGGTGTGAAGAAAGTCAGATTTAGGAAAAAAGATGAATTCAAGTTTGGTCATGTTGATGTTGCTTAATGTTTTTTTTCTCCTCTAGTCTGTAATCTCCATTCGGTCAGCTAGTTGTCCCAATGCCATTGTTAAAAAAATATAATCTATTTTGCTATAATTCAATAGTATCATTCCTAAGATACTTTTCACAACATAAAGTATGTTATCAAAACAAT